GATCCCCAGACACGGAACGCAGACGCATCGCTGACCTTCCCCGTCCACAGCAAGGCTGGGGAGGTCTCCGGTCTGGAGACCCTGGGGTGAAGGTTGATCTGATGCGCCGCGTACCGAACCTCAAACGGCCACAGAAAATGGGGGGCAGCCGCATGCATCATGGACGTACGAGCGACGTCCATGACCATGCCAATGCGGCGCTCAGCAATCCCATTTTGCTGTGGAGAGTCCGCAAGCGTAAAGGTCTGGCGAATGCCTCGCGCACGACAGTAGGCTCGCAGAAGGCCAGAGGAGAACTCTCCGCCTCGGTCAGAGTGCAGACGCAGAACAGGAAAGTCCGAGCCGAAGCTCCTCCTGAGCTGGAGACGAGCTGCGCGGATCCAGTCGATCAACACCCCAGTGACATCACCCTTGCTGCGCAAGGGGAAGACTGTGGTGTAACGCAAGTAGTCGTCAACCACCAGTAGGAAGTAGCGCTCGTAACCCTGTCCACGGACGCGGGCCGGGCCCCACACGTCCATGTGAAGCGTCTGCAGCGGGGCCTCTGTCGGGGAAAACTGAGAGGAGTGAGGGGCAGCTCGGAGCCGCCCCTCGACACAGGGGACACAGGAAGGACCAGGCCCCGGAGGAAGGGAAGGGAGGGACCGGGGAAGACCAGAGACAAGGACACGGGAAGCCATGCCTCGGAGATGAGGCAGGGAGGGGTGACCAAGACGGTGGTGCCAGAGGAGAGTCTTGTGAGACAGGAGGCGACACGAGCAGGGGGCAGACTCAGGACCAGACCTGGACGCTGCAGCAAACACCTGACCCGACGCAGCTACCTCACCAGACGCAGTGACTGGAGGAGACTCAGTGGTCAGTGTGTACAGGCTCGACCCTGGCCGACGTGTAAACGTGGCCAGGTGTCGGCCTGTCCGAGCGTCCGTGCAGTGGGTCACCCGCTGACTCGCAGGAGTGAACTGGTGAACCCCCGTATCTTGCAGGTTAGCACCACTCACCAAGTTTGTAGAGAACGAGGGGAGGTAAAGACCAGACAAGGTGCCACAGGGGGCAGCCGGACACGGGAGGACAGTGGAGAAGTGAGAGAGGACAGGACCCCCAGAGGGGTCTGCCAGGGAGACTGCAACTGGCCCACCAAGCGGCGTGAGTGTGGTGCGGTCTCAAACTAGTGGTCGCAGTTCGCGTCAGCGTCCTCCTCCTGTCCCTCGCACGCACCGGATGTCTGTGCGTCCGTCGACTGCTCCTCTGCGTGCCCCTTTGCCCTCTCCTCCTGAGTCCCCTCTTCCTGTGCTTGTCGACCCTGAGTCGGACTCTCTTCATGCTGCCAGTCCTACTGTCACGCGTCTCCTTGCTACTGTTGTCACTGACCCCTCTTTTGAGTCCACTGCTGCGTCTGCTCTTGTTGCTGAGCTCGTCGACTTTGCTGCTCGCTGTCGTCTAGACTACGCTGCTAGTCTTGTTGCTGAGTCTGCGTCTGTCTGTCCTCCGTCCGTCGGGGGTGAGTGTGCTCTTGGAACGGACGTCCTTGAGGACAGGCAGGAGGAGTTCCAGTGTCTCGCTGCTGCTTCACCTCATCTCGCGTCCGTACAGCTTACCCCTGAGGGAGACCCGTATGCACTAGACATCCCGACTCCGCGCTCTTACGAGGTGGCCGTAGAGGGTCCCTACTCCTCTCAGTGGCAGGCAGCTATGGATGCAGAGATGGCTTCCTGAAAGTCCACAGGCACCTACGTTGACGCGGTTCCCCCTCCTGGGGCGAACATCGTCAGTGGCATGTGGATCTTCAGGGTGAAGCGGCCGCCGGGCTCTTGACCTGTCTTCAAAGCGCGGTACGTGGCTCGTGGCTTCAGTCAGCGGCAGAGAGTTGACTACTTTCAGACCTTCTCTCCCACCCCGAAGATGACCACTCTTCGGGTGCTGCTACACGTAGCCGCTCAGCGTGACTACGAGCTTCACTCCCTTGACTTCAGCACTGCTTTCCTGCAGGGTAGCTTGCACGAGGAGATCTGGTTGCGCCGTCCACCTGGCTTCACTGGGACTTTCCCTCCTGGCACCCAGTGGAGCCTCCGGTCTACGGTCTCCACCAGGCACCGCGCGAGTGGCACGACACACTGAGGACTACACTTGCGCCTCTTGGGTTTGCTCCCTCTACTGCTGACCCGTCGCTGTTTCTACGCACCGACACCTCTCTGTCGACGTTCTACATCCTCGTGTACGTCGACGACTTGGTCTTTGCCACAGGTGACACTGCTGGACTCGCCCACGTGAAGTCCGAGCTGCAGAAGAGACACACGTGCACAGACCTGGGTGAACTGCGCAGCTACCTTGGCTTGCAGATCACCCGGGACAGAGCACGCCGCACCATTACCCTGACTCAGTCACACATGGTGCAGCAGGTCCTTCAGCGCTTCGGCTTTACGTACTCCTCGCCTCAGGCCACTCCTGTGTCTACTAGCCACTCGCTCTCAGCTCTGCCTTCGGATGAGTCCGTAGAGTCGAGTGGCCCGTACCCAGAGCTTGTTGGCTGTCTCATGTACCTGATGACCTGCACACGACCTGACCTTGCATACCCTCTTAGCATTCTTGCACGCTATGTTGCTCCTGGGAGACACCGACCAGAGCACATGGCTGCAGCGAAGAGGGTGTTGCGCTACTTGTGCAGTACGTCGGGCATGGGGCTAGTGCTTGGAGGGCGCAGTCCAGTGGTCCTCACTGGGCACGCGGACGCTTCTTGGGCAGACGACCAGGCTACGCAGCGGTCGTCACAGGGTTACACCTTCAGCCTTGGTTCCGGCTCTATTTCGTGGCGGGCTACTCGCTCGTCTTCTGTTCTCGGCTCCAGTTGTGAGGCTGAGATCTACGCCGGGGCCATGGCTGCACAGGAGCTTCGCTGGCTTACCTACCTGCTGACTGACCTCGGAGAGCCGCCTCGTTCTCCTCCGGTGCTGTACGTAGACAACAAGGCCATGCTAGCCTTGTGTCGGGAGCAGCGCCTGGAGCACAGAACGAAGCACATTGCTCTCCGTTACTTTCTTGCTCGTGAGTTGCAGTAGCGTGGTCAGTTGCGACTTGCGTACGTGGCCTCTGAGGCCAACACTGCTGATGTTTTCATCAAGGCACTTGCGCTTTGTGATCATCAGCGCTTCTGCACTCAGCTGGGTTTTATGCCTGTCTTGCCTCACTTGCTCACCCCTTGACCTTGCTTGTACTCTTACATATATATATATATACCTGCTCTTGCTTGTTTAGCCTTATATATATGTGTACTCCTGCATGTGAACTGGCCTTGTGGCCTTTACCTTGTGCTCGGACTGTGTGGTGACGTTGTGATCCACCCTGAGGTTTGTTTGGTTTGCTTGACTGGTCTTGTGACCCCTTGTTCTCCCCCACTTTGCCTATGGGGGTGTGTCAAATTATAATATTGTGTAGGCTATAGGGGGGTAGCCTATATGGGGTACACATTTCTAGGGTTGCACATTTGTATCACTTCCATTCCTTAGTCATTCATTCTCGTTCTCATTTTCTCAAAGATAGTACCGTAGGTTGAATCCCTCCGCATTCACTGGATCTCCTGCAATGAGGTCTTGTCGCCGTAATAGAAGGCGCAATGTAAGGCACAGAAAGTCAGTGGTGTGGTGAAAGGCGAGTTGGCAGTGGTGAAAGGGGAGTTGGCAGTGGTGAAAGGGGAGTTGGCAGTGGTGAGGTGAAAGGGGAGTTAACAGTGGTGAGGTGAATGGGGAGTTGGCAGTGGTGAGGTGAATGGGGAATTGGCAGTGGTGAGGTGATAGAGGAGTTTGCAGTGGTGAAAGGGGAGTTGGCAGTGGTGAGGTGAATGAGGAGTTGGCAGTGGTGAGGTGAAAGGGGAGTTGGCAGTGGTGAGGTGAAAATTTCCTGCGCCTCGATTTCCAAAAATTTTACCCTACAACCCGCACTGTAGAGCCCTCGATAATGTGACTGGAAGCTTCATAGAAGAAGCTGTAATTTTTTTCTTCCGTCCTTCTTCCGTGGCTGCCGAACTGAGCTAATGTGTGTATGCCGCCGTTGTGAAATTGTTGATGTGTTGTGCTCTATGCGGATTTGGATGGGTGGGAAAAGTGGAAATGTCATTGCAAGCTTGCGACAATTTTGTCCATTTTGCGACTGATCGTATTGAATTCGGTCTTGTTACTACTTGGGGACTTGCCCTGTTTGGAAAAAAAACACCAAACCTTTTGGAACTTTTCATGAGCTTTCTAGTGGACCCAACGAGAAGGGGGGGGGTCACTATTTTAGCTGCTGGCTCTAAGCCCTACACTCAATTACAACCGCCCCCCCTAAGTGCATATGCGCTACTATCTGGGGCGATACGATACCATAAATTAGTTGTATTTGTGCCGTGCACTGCTCATGTTGCACGCGGGAGACAATGCCTCTGTGACTTTAGGTGTAAACTTATATATGCCCCATTGATTCTGTTGTCAACTACATGAGATGTCCCATCCCATTGTAATGATCAATACTGTGACCAACGAGCCACCGTGTGCCAGCCAGCCACAGATAACTGTACTGATTTGTATAAATGAAGTACCTGGGCGGCGGCATAGTGCTGGCTGGGCTGGGTGATGGGATGATGCATGAGCAATGGTCAAGCGCAAGCTGGTCTGTGTCTGCACAGGAAATGGAAGTGCTCATGCTGCTTCGTTGGCCACTTATGTAGCCCATTCACTGGCATGCAGGAAGCAAGTAGGAGATGAAAAGTCCCGATTGAGGTGAATCAGTCCCTCACTACGCGTTTGCAAACAGCTCGCTCTCCTCTGCTGTTGCCTTGTCTCTCCACAGCTCTCCCCAGTGCACTGCTCTGCTTCAGAATGCATGGCTTATGTACTGGATGACACCTGAATCTCAACAGCAATAGATAGAAGCTGCCACAAATGCTAACTCCTTACTGCAGCCCCACTCCACTCTGTTGAGATTCAGGTGTCATCCAATAAGGGGTTTCTCACACCCTAAACCCTGCTGCACTAAGAGCTCCACTCGGGTTTGAGATGCACACCCACCTGCAGCACTCTCCCTGCAGACAAGGCACGTGCGAGTCGATGCACGCTGCATTGGTCCAGTTGGTAAGAAGAGGGTCCAGTTGGCCTTGTAATAAGAGCGAAAAACTCCTTGCACTGCCCCCAATGATGTGAGGCACGTGTGAGTCGATGCAGTTGTTGAACCGTTATGAGAAGGGAGGAGGAGAGGGAGAGGGAGGGAAGAGGGGAAAGGTGGAAGAGAGGGGGGTGAAGAGAGAGGATACAAAGGGTGAGGAATGGGGAGTGGAGAGAAGGTCGGAAGAAGTGTGGCATGTCCGAGTCGATGCGGCTGTCCGGCTGGTGGGAGGGGGGAAGAGGGAGGGGAAGGGGAGAAGGGGAGTTGAGACATGAAAAGTACGGGTGAGAAGAGGGGAGTGAAGACAGCTGGTAGGGAAGGCCAACGCTGCCCATCAATGCTCCTTCACATCCACATAAACACCCACATATTCTCGGTTGCAACGATTGACTCACGATTACCAACAACAAATACAGCACATCCCATCTCGTGAACGCTGCCGCTCAACACCGCCCCTTGACCCCATGCCCATCAACCCCTCTCTCTCATTCACCTGAAGGCCCTCTCTGCTGCAGAAACGTAGCGAGTGACCGTGGCCTGCTTGATGCACGAGGGGGAGGCAGAAGGTCACTGGCTTTCAAACCTGGACAGGTCGGAGCTGATTCGGGTGAAAGGAGGAAAAGGGAACACAGCATGCACACTAGATGCATGGACACTCCATGGACATTGCACACCATGCACGCGCACCATAGCACCCACCCATCCACCCACCCCGTTCACCATTCACGAGGGTGCGAGTCTCATGGATCATCCTTGCCATGCTCTTGACATTGCTTGCCGCCTCTGCTACCATCTTTGCTGGCCTCACCTGCTCTTCCTGCCTCGGCGTCTCCATAAGGCTGTGCCACATGCCCTCGAAAACACTATCAGGGCCAATGCACATGAGCTGTTTTAAAAGGGGAGAGGGTGGGAAGGAAGGTTGCGGATTGGGGGAAAGAGGGGGAAGGAGGGAAGGGGGAGGAGAGGATATGAAAGCAGGGCTGCAAGGGAGGCATGCGTGAGCACATGACGCACCAATACACATTAGCTGAGTGTGAGTGAGAAGGACGGGTCACGGGAGGGATGAGGGGGGAGGGGAACAGGAAAGACATCAAAGACAACAATGGAGGCAGGCATAGGAAAGAGCGGGAAGGAGGAGGAGGGGGCTGATGACGTGCTGACAGATGAGTATGTTGAGTAGGATTTGGGGTTTAGTTTTGGTGGAGGGTGATTAGTTGCATTGCATGCTTGTAATTGTCTAATTCTCATGTATAGAAAAAAACTTTCACACCCCGACCAGAAACATTCACTACAAAAACCATCTAACCTTACCCGAGACCCATGTTTTTCCCCTACCTTAAGTTTTCTACCCTGCCCCACACAGCGTATTTAGAGCGTTAATAAAACTGGAAATCTGGCGTATCGGTTGTGCAGAGTACAAACGCGACTGATACACCATGGGCGTACTTTCCAACATAACCTTGAACAAGGGCAGCTCACGGGGCATGGGTTCAGCAAGGTGGGGTGAGAGCACAGGCATGGCTTCAACAAGGGCAGCCAACGGTCTGGGACTTCTCAGCCCGTGTGTTAAGCCCTCCTTGAGGGCCTCTTTCAGTGTGCAAGGCTGAGCAGGCTGTTCATCATGTTAGATCGACTTATCAAGTGGGGTTTCAGCACAGCTACTCCTTCCAGCACCATGCTCAAGTTAGGGTATTCGCCTCTGAGTGGAGAAGCCGGGTGTTCTGTTTTAGAAAGCATCCTTCTTCAATACAAAATGCCCAAGGTGTCGGTCGGTCAGCCATGGGTCAGTCAGTCATCCAATATAAGTCATTCAGTCAGCCATGGTTTGGTCAGTCAGCGTTTGGCCGGTCAGTCAGCCTTGAGTCAGTCTGTCCGCCTTGGGCCAGTCAGTCAGCCATGGATCAATCAGTCAGCCACGGTTCAGTCAGTCAGCCATGGGTCAGTCAGTCAACCATGGGCCGGTCAGTCAGCGACAGGTCATTCAGTCAGCCATGGGTCAGTAAGCCATGGTTCATCATTCAGTCAGCACATGGATCAGTAACCACGGGTTCGTCAGTCAGTCATCAATGTTTCAGTCAGTCAGCCATGGGTCCGTCAGTCAGCCAATGGTCAGTCATTCAGTCAGCCCCTGGATCAGTCAGTCAACCTTGAGTCAGCCAGCCCGCCATGGTTCAGCCAGTCAGCCATGGGTCAGTTAGTCAGCCATGGGTCAGACAGTCAGCCATGGGTCAGTCAGTCAGCCATGGGTCAGTCAGTCAGCCATGGGTCAGTCAGTCAGCCATCGGTCGGTCAGTCAGCCATGGGTCAGGCAGCCAGGGGTCAGCCAGTCAGCCACAGGCCAGTCATTCCGCCACAGGTCAGTCAGTCAGCCATGGGTCAGTCAGTCAGCCATCGGTCGGTCAGTCAGCCATGGGTCAGGCAGCCAGGGGTCAGCCAGTCAGCCACAGGCCATTCATTCTGCCACAGGTCAGTCAGTCAGCCATGAGTGTCAGTCAGCCATGGGTGAATGAGTCAACCAGGGGTCGATGAGTCAGCCATGGGTTGATGAGTCAGCGACGGGGATCATGAAGTATCTGTGCTCGGCGCACTGCTCATCATCGTCTTTACAAGTCATATCACATTTTCCAACCCCCTTATTGTGACCCGCTTTCTTTTTCCACTCTCAGCACACACCAATGTGAGCGTCCACTTCTACCCCCCCTGCCCTCCTTCCTACCGCCTCTTCCCGTTTTCAATTTTCTCCTTCCCTATACTAGTCGCAATGTATGTGCCAGTAGTGCATGTATCCATCAACATTGTCTCCTCCCTTAGTTTGTTACTTTGTGAATCGTCTCACTCTCCCATTCTTGAGGTAAACCCCCTAGTCCATCCTGAATCCGGGTCTTATTGCCATGAAATTACGGTATTACTCTCCTATTGCTGTGTGAATCTCGATGTGAGCCTCCACTTCCCCTTCTTCACCCCCCCTCTTCTCCCATGCTAAGAAATTGTATGATGTTCATTGGCCTACATAAGTATTCACTTCTCTGATGTTCACCCAAGTCATTTCCGGGTCTTGTTGTTGGGAGATTACAGTAATAATCTCCCCAATCTCTCTCAAAACCCCCTACTAATCAAGCTTCTGTCGCCAGGTTTCATCCATCCCGTAAGCCTCTTCCTCCACCGCATCTGAAATGGCATTGCAAATGAAATGGCTGTGAAGGGATCAAACCCTTTCTTGCCCATGTGTAACGGATGACAAGGCATTGAACAGACATGTATAATGTCCGGATGAACAGAATAGAGGGAGAATGTGATGCTTTCCATGTTAGATATGTGGGATGGAAAAAGTATTGCTATATCGTATAGTTTAGGTCTTCACGAGTTGCCACAGAAAAGGTTTAATAAGCCTTTTCAAAATTCCATATTGATCATGAATGTACAGTGTTCTGCAACATAGCTAATATAATGCATGCAGTAGCTAAGAGATAAAAAATATGCTCCCATGGACAAGCCTAAGCTACAATCGCTGCTTTCAGCGTACTTAGACGACTTACAAACGATGTTACCAGTTACCCTACTAAAACCTCTATCAACAGGCCTTACTTCCCCATATACGTTTCCATATTGCACATTGGTAGTAGAAGCTCTAGGTGAACCAGTAAGGTGCATGTGAAGAACCAAGTTGATTATGTGGAAGAGCCACTTGGCATGCCTTCGCACTCCGCACGGGCCATTTCAGCAGTGAAGCTGGAGGAGCCAATGGAACTCCCAAGCTCCATGTCGGTGTGAGATTTGGCCTCACCCACATGGCTCTCGCGTGCTCCAAACGCCTCCTGCTTCAACTTCACCAGCTCTCCCAGCACTTGATTCATGGAGGGGCGGGAGGCTGCAGGTATGGCAGTGCAGGAGAGGGCCAGACGAGCCCAGCGCAGCACCAAGTCATCTGGTGCGTCCAAGTGGGGGTCCTTGAACAATGCCACGGCATCTGACTCCACAAATGGGACGATCTGTTGGGTTGAAGGGGGACACGGCCATGTGGACATACTTGTTCATTGAACTACACACGAGTGCAGGATTGAGCACTAGTCTTGCAGTTATTTCATGAAGTATTGAGGCGGTAAGTCTGTACCAAGCAACTGATGCTCACCCATTGCTTCAGACTGATCTGGCTGGTCTCGCTCACATGCACGGCCTTGCGTGCCGAGATGACCACCAGCATCACCACGCCGAAGCTGTTATCACCAAACCAGCAAAAATACAGTGGACCAGAATGGAGATTAAGGTGAGGCATGTCCATAGAGCATTCTATGCCCTACCTGCATCAGAAACGGATAAGGAGAAACACATCTTTGTGCTCACATCTGCTGCTGAAGTGGACTTGTGGGAGTTGTAGAAGAGAAGGCAGGGTAGTTATAGACCGGTGTTTCCATCACTCGAGTGGCAGCCACAGATGGTTTCCTAGTCAACTTAACAGATATTTCTTTGCCCTCTCACCTGTACACGTCTGCTGCTGGAGTGGCCTTGTGCGACTTGTAGTAGGCAGGGTCCACATAGCCGGGTGTTCCCATCACTCGAGTGGCAGCCACAGACGTGCCCATAGCTGTGCCCCCAGTGAGCTTCACCAGCCCAAAATCTGCGATCTTGGCCTGAACAACAGTCACATGTGCATATAGACAGAGTTCAGATGTTGGGCAGCACCAATTGTTTTCAATCAGTCAAAGCATGCTGGAAATAAGAGAACATAAAGTCTATGTAGGTCAAAGAGAATGCAAGGAGAAAACGGTGCTAGACGTACATGCATTTTTGCATCAAGAAGAATGTTGGCTGGCTTGATATCGCGATGCACAATGCCAAAATCATGAAGGTAATGCAAGCCCTTGGCTACTCCAATCAGAATGTCAAGTCGTTGCAAGAATGAGAGGGGGCTTGGAGCACCTGAAAAAGGACAAAGTGAAAAGAAATTTCCCATGCCAATGGATTATAATTGAGTTAATAATTAAGCATAAGAATGGTTACAATAGGGTTGAAATCTGAAAATGCTGACTTCTGATCAGCATTTGCGAATGACAAAATGAATGGTTGCGGTGAGAGGCGCGAATTCCGAAACCTGATTCGAAGGTGCAGGTTCCAGGTGAAAGGGAGTTGACTGGTGAAAGAAAAGTGCTGTCAGGTGTAGAGAGAAGCTTATGTACCTGGTCCAATCCAGCTCTCAAGGTCCCGATTGGCCATGAACTCGTACACAAGTACTTGCTCCATGAGACTTGTAGCGGGGTCAAAGTTCACACAGAATCCCAACAGGCGCACCAAGTTGGGGTGGTGCTTGCTAGCCATCTCCTTCACCTGCATGGTGAGAGTGGTAAAACAATTATCCAGGAAAAGAGCGCATATGTGGAGTGTGCATGTGTGTATGTTCGTGTGTATGAGTGTATGTCCATGCATGTGTGTGTATGTGAACGCATGTATTTGTATGTGTTTGTGCATGTGTTCGTGTGTAGCGTACAACTTGTGTGTGTGTGTGTGTGTGTGTGTGTGTGTGTGTTTGTGTGTGTGCATGCGTGCTTGCGCACACACACTCAAATGAATACAAAGGTCATCCAATAACAATATCGCAACATCAATCATGGTGTGAAACCAGAAGCATCTTTAGAACCATCTAGTACCTCTGTGAGGAAGTCATTGGAGAGGACCCTAGATCGCTTCACAGCCCAAATCTCATTGGGGTCATGCAGTGACACGCCCTTGTACACATCTCCAAAGCTGCCGCTGCCAATCCTGTTCCCCTCTGCCCAGTCTCCCGTTGCGCTTGCGAGCTCTTCCAGAGTCAACTTCTGGCACACATGTGGCTTCACTGCCTCCATCTCCACCACCACTCCTCTCTGCTTCTCCCGTGCGGCTGCTCCTGCTGCCACAACCACCGCTGCTGCGGCTGCAGCAGCTGCTGCTTCTGGGTCCCTCTCCTCTGCTGTGGATGATGTGCTTGGAAACTCATGTTTTGTGTCTGTGAGAGGTTGTGAGGGGTTTTGAGACGAAGATGAAGAACCAAAAGTGGATGACAAACTTTTGAGACGTCTCAAAAGTCGTCTACTTACACACGGATTTTACATAGAGGGCTGTTTTGTTGCTTGGAAAACTGGTTGTAACCTGCAAAGGTTACTGGTTCGCGCGAGGCTCCCTGAGCACCAGCTGGCGGATTGTGTTACTTCAACGTTACGCCACGAGGAATGAAGACCCCGAAGACTTGGACTTTTCTAGGTCGTCAGGGATTGGCCAACCAGTTTTCTGGCCACGGTTGCAACAACCTGGAGTTTTGTTTTCCGAGACGTAGTGTTTGCCCAAATGCTTCGTCTTCCTCATTCTCTTTCATTTTCCACTTGCACTGATGAAGGTGTGATTGGGGTCTGTCCCGTCACCCGAAACTAGTTTGCCTCGTTTTAATCTTTGAGTGGAATTTTGAGTCGGATTTCTTGAAACTCCTTGTTTTTAGCAGGAACAACAACAGATCGTACTGTTAATCCTTTGCTAAAGATTTCTTTTAGACTGCTGCTCGCCTAATCATATGGCTGAAGATGAAGACCAAAAGTGGATGACAAACCACGAGAGATAAGGCTGGGGATGATGGAGGTTTTGGAACAACGTGAATTGGAAACATCTTACCTTTGAGCGCACTTTCTTCTGCCAAGTCCTTGCCATCCACATCAGTGCTGGCACCACCTCCTCCTGCTGCCTCTTTGGTGCGATGTCGCTTGCACAGCAGCAAGCTCAACAGTAACAACGAGAGAACCGCCACAACGCCAGCAGCAGCAATGCCAGCAATGGCCCCGCTGGATAAGCCGCCTCCGGACTGGGAAGCAGAGGCTGCACGTTCATTAGGAGTTGAAATGGGAGGGGGTGGAGCAGGTGCTAGTAGTGGCGATGGGGAGGGTGCTGGCACTGGCAACGGGAAGGGTGCTGGCACTGGCGATGGGGAGAGTGCTGGCACCGGCGATGGGTAGGGTGCTGGCACTGGGGATGGGGAGGGTGTTGGTGCTGGCGATGGGGAGGGTTTTGGCGCTGGCGATGGGGAGGGTTTTGGCGCTGGCAATGGGGAGGGTTTTGGCGCTGGCGATGGGGAGGGTTTTGGTGCTGGCAGTGGGGAGGGTTTTGGTGCTGGCGGTGGGGAGGGTTTTGGTGGTGGTGACGGAGAGGGTTTTGGTACTGGCGACGGGAAGGGTTTTGGTGGTGATGACGGAGAGGGTTTTGGTACTGGCGATGGGGAGGGTTTTGGTGGTGGTGACGGAGAGGGTTTTGGTACCGGCGATGGGGAGGGTTTTGGTGGTGGTGACGGAGAGGGTTTTGGTACTGGCGATGGGGAGGGTTTTGGTGGTGGTGACGGAGAGGGTTTTGGTACTGGCGATGGGGAGGGTTTTGGTGGTGGTGACGGAGAGGGTTTTGGTACTGGCGATGGGGAGGGTTTTGGTGGTGGTGACGGAGAGGGTTTTGGTACTGGCGATGGGGAGGGTTTTGGTGGTGGTGACGGAGAGGGTTTTGGTACTGGCGATGGGGAGGGTTTTGGCACTGGCGATGGAGAGGGTACAAGTATGGGGTAGAAAGAAAGACAAGGATAGGGAAGGAAAAAGGCAATCAGACATAGGGATGATAGTGGGCTTGGTGAAAGAGGATGTGGCATCAAGCACATTTTGCATAGGGAGAAGAAGCAAAAGAAGGCACCGAAGGGTTGAAACGGGTACATTTCAGTAAGGGCCATGAGGGCCACACAATAAAATCGCAACAGTGCGTGCACATTCGGAGAGAAGCTAAGCTGTGCATGCCTGACATTGGAGAAGCTAGGTGGAAATGAAATGTTCATCCGGTCAGTACTAATGAGAGCAAGGAAAATAGGCAGCACTAATTGCAGCTACCTGCGTAAGGAGTGTCTCACGTGGTCGTGGCTTGTCACATGTGGTGCAGAAGGAGCTGCACTCGCTGCAGAAAGAACTTGAAGGGGTCTGTGGGACCACGCAGCTACTATAGTCAGGTGGGCATGTGATTGCAGTCGAGGATATGTTCCTGCATGCAAAATTCTCATATTGAACATGTGACCGCAGCTGCATATGGAGCATTTTCGTAAATGGGTTTCAGGTCCAAGTGAAACGCTTTAAGGTTGCTATTGGATTATCGTAACACGTTGTACTACTCTACCATGCCAATTAGGCATGAGTACAAGGGCGAACAATTGTTTGTTTCTGGCCCAACATGTTCAGGGCTATAATGGATTTGACTCCAAAAACTGAAAATGTCAAGGGTCAATATTCCACGTTTTGACCCTTGACGCGTCAGTCCGTTTTGACGCTTGACGCCACTGGTAATTTTTTTTCGTGCAGCCCGATTTTGAAAAAAAAAAGAAGAAAAAAAATGAAATCGAAATTCCGCGCTTAAAACGCGACCCGCCAAATTGAACTCGACATTTGAGGCCCCAAAACAGGCCCCAACCAAACCAACACTCAAACCACCCTCCACCCCCTTGAAACTACTCAACCCAACCCATCATCCCCTACTATTTCACCACAATTCTCCTCTGGAAACCCCATTTTAGGGTTTCCAACCAGCAACTCCTGCCCCACATGTCCTACAACTCCTGCCCCACCCCCCCCCCCCCCCCCCCCAACCTCTCTTACTAACCCCCCTGTTCCCAGTTTTTTTTTACCCCTGCCCGGGAATCTTTTATGCCTGCCCGCCAGAGCGTCAAACTGGGGGTACCCCTCGGACAGGGGGCGTCAATAGCGTCAAAACGCTAGCTTTTTGACTCAGAGTCAAAACGCTGAGCGCGTCAAATCCATCATAGGTTCGGTTCGGGGCGAACATGTTCGTGGTTGTCTTGTGTTCGGGGCGTTTTAGGGAAGAAACCAGTGGGAAACCTATACTTGCTGGAACTGCCGGCCATGCCATAAATAGTAGCCCATTTTACCCATCCCGGGCTAGTGCACGGATGTTGAAAAGTCGAGCACGAACATGTTTGAGGCGAACATGAAAGTGACGTGTTTGCCTTGCATCGAATACACATGTTCGGCGAACCGAACATGTTAGTGTTCGCCCGAAGGTGGAGGAAGTGAACACGTTTGTGTTCGGGTGTTCGCGTTTGGGAGGTGAACACCTTGATGTTTTCCCGAAAGCGAACATGTTCGTGTTCGCCATGTCAGCAGCCTTTGTTAGAGACTGTCGTGAATCCTCCTCTGCAGACTCTCATTCTCACTCTCCCATGCGTATCCCGCTGATTCTCCCTTATCTCCTTCCTTCCCTGCCACCGCTCTGCTGACCACAGGTTCAGCCCTTCTTCCTCCTGGTGTAGGTAATCACCCCGTCCTGTAATCCTCCTGATATCTCAGGCTTCCCTTGCAACAAGTCTAAACTCCCTCGCAAGGGCTCAGTCAGATTGCTGTTAGCTTCTACTGCTAGTTCCCTTCGGATTAGGAAAGCAAATTGCAGTAAACGAGAAACATACAAGCAAAAAGCAACGAGTCTGAGCGCTACCCCAGTCTACATCCCCTCCTGCCTAGTTGCCTTGTCCCGCAAGCTACCTCTACCCCTAAGCGCGAGTCAGCTGAGCTGATCGCGTAGGCTTCAAGGTGCTAGCTGGGTCCCACTGGGCCAACTAGGCATGCACCGCCTTCCAGCCTGGTGAATGGCGAATTGAATTCCCAGGCTGGCTGGAATCGAATTCGCCACCAACCTCCTCATCAACCTCCTCGAAATCCTCAGCAGCTCGACTCTGTATAGTACAGTAACCTTCCAAAGCAAGCACACAAAGTAAAAATGCGAAAAGCAGTAAACTATAGTACACCCTCACCTTGGCTGCTGCGAAATTCACACTTAGTTGCCAACTAAGTGTTAATAACGCGACAGCTGTCGTGAATCCTCCTCTGCAGACTCTCATTCTCACTCTCCCATGCGTATCCCGCTGATTCTCCCTTATCTCCTTCCTTCCCTGCCACCGCTCTGCTGACCACAGGTTCAGCCCTTCTTCCTCCTGGTGTAGGTAATCACCCCGTCCTGTAATCCTCCTGATATCTCAGGCTTCCCTGCCCCCTCCCGTGTCTCAGCGCTCATCTTAGCCGCTCGAGCCACGGGACCCAATGCCTGAGGCTTCCCTTGTCCCGCCCTGGCCACGTTGGTGATGTGCTCCTTGATGGTTCCCCCTCGGATATCTTCCAGCACTAACACTCCCGAGCCTCGAATCTCTTTCACCTTCCACCGCTCTGAACCCACAGCCAAGTCCAGCGTGTCGCGCTTAGCTTTGCGGAGGTACACCTCCTGTCCTGCCTCCACCTTGTCTTCCCTTCCTCCCACCCCTGATGCTTTACGCTGCTGGTATCGTCTAGCGTCACGCAACTGCGCCACGTGGAGATTATCCAGGGCTGCCGGAGTCAGCTCCTTCAAATACTTCGCCCTCTTATATGCTAACTCCGCCCACAGGTTCGGCTCATCCGCCTCTATAACCGCAGAGAGCAGCTTCGGTGCGTCGACCGGCAGCACAGGGTCCCGTCCGAACAGCAGGTGGTATGGGGATAGGTTCTTCAGTGCCGCCTGCTTTGCGAACCTGTACCCAGCCAGTACCCACCATAGATCTCGGTCCCAGCTCCTTTTGGGGGTCTCACTGTAGGCCCGAAGTCCTTTCTTCAAGGTCTGTATGAGCCTCTCGGTCAGTCCGTCTGATTGCGGGTGGTACCTAGAGGTGACCCTGTGCGTGATACCCATCTCCTCTAACAGCCCATCAAAGCTCCCTTGGAACTCAGTCCCTTGATCAGTGAGTACCTCTCCGCATGCCCCATACCTGGTAAGCACCAGCTCCTCAAATGCGTCTGCTATCAGTGCGCTGTTCTTGCTTGGTAATGCACGCACCTCCACCCATTTGCTCGTGTGCTCAACCATCACCAGAATGTACTGCTTCCCCCCTTTCGACAGCGGTAGCTCCCCCGCGAGGTCCAGCGACCACCTGTAGCCCAACCCGTGAATTGGTAACGAATGCAGCTCATCCCTCTCTTTCTCCAGCCTTGCTTTATTCCTCTGACAAGCCTCGCAGCTCGCCACTAATCCTGCTACATCCTTTCCCATGCTCGCCCACCAGTACATGGTGCTCAGCAGCTGCCGCGTCCTGGTTATGCCATAGTGCCCCAGCTTCGCGTGCACGTTCCCCATAATCCTGGCCCTCTCCTGTGGCTGCGGCACTACCTTCCACCCTTCGTTAGTTCTCAGCTGCAGCTGTTACTGAAACCACCTGAAATGCTGTCCTCGGGCCCTGGCCCTCTCGCTCACTCCTCCCTCTTCGAGTGGCTCCCCTTTGATCCAGCTCATGGTCTCCTCATCTTCCCATATATCCCCTAACCGCTTCTTTCCCTTCTCCTGCCCCCAGGTTACTGCCGCTACTTGAGCCATGGCTGCCAGTTGTGCTACCGGCTGCAAAGGTGGCGGGTTCCTTGATAACCCATCGGCGTGCTGCAGGGTTTTCCCAGGTCGGTGTCGGATCTCAAAATCGAATCCCAGCAGCTTAATGGCCCAGCGTGCGTTTCTCCCAGTCAGCTCCTGATGAGTCATCAACCATAGCAACGGCTGATGATCAGTCACAAGTGTGAAATGCCGACCCTGCAGGTACACCTTGAAGTGAGTGATCCCCCATACAGCTGTCAGGCCCTCCCCTTCGTAAGAGCAGTAGTTAGCCTCGGATGGGCTGCAGCTGCGGCTGGCGAAGGCTACCACTCTCTCCTCTCCCTCTATCTCTTGGCAGAGCACTGCCCCCATTCCTGTGCTGCTCCAGTCGGTGTATAAGATGAAAGGGGCATCTGCCCTCGGTATCTGCAGCAGTGTTCCAGTTCGTACTGCTTCCAGCAGGTCCTGCCTTGCCGTTTCCTCCAGCTCTCCCCACTGCCAGCTCCTCCCTTCCTTTAGCAGCTGATTCAGTACGTAGGCGCGGCGGCTGAAGTTCGGAACGAACTTCCTGTAATAATTCAGGAAGCCGAGTAGCGCCCGCAGCCCGGTCTTGTCCTTGGGTGCTGCTAAGTTCTCCAGCACCTTCACCTTTGCTTCCTGTATTGCTAGCCGGCCCCCCTTCACTTCGAAGCCCAGGTAAGCCACGGTCTGCCTTGCTACCTTGCACTTGTCTGGATGGCACGTTAGGCCTGCAGCTGCTATTGCCTCTAGCGTCCGCTTCAGATCTTGCACGTGCTGCTCTTCGCTGCTGCTGAATATCAGTATATCATCTATGTAGCATGCTGCTGCCGGAATCCCCTTCAGCACCTGATCCATGGCTCGCTGAAACACTGCAGGGGCGTTGCGAATCCCGAAAGGCATCACATTGTACTCATACAGCCCATCCACCCCGTGGAACGCCGTCTTCCGTTTGTCTTCCTCCCTAATGGCTATTTGGTTGAACCCTTGCCGCAGGTCCAAGGTGGTGAAGATGATGGCGCCCTCTAAACGGTCGAAGATGTCTTCAGCAGTTGGCATTGGATACCTATCTGGACTAGTGATCTTGTTCAGCTCTCTGAAGTCCCCGCACATCCTCTTCGCCAGTACCTTCCCCGTAATATCTTTCCTAGCGGCTACCACTGTGGCT